TCGGACAGAGAAAACCTCGGCCAGACTGTCTTTGCAGAATGTAAAGCAACAGACCTCAACAGCCGGTCATCAAACATGTTCAGATCAACTCCAAACATGCGACTGTGGGTATTTCCAACAATGCAGACAGCCAATATAGGGGTCAAAACATGAGTTTTGTTTTGCCTTTAAAACAGTAGCTGTTCCATTTCTAGAGAATAATTTCTGTTAAAATAAATAAAAAGAAATGGTGGGGGAGAGGAGAGGCTCCATTCAAATCTATTAAAACAAGGCACACCCAGTCTTTACGGGACTGAGACTTTGCACTTCACCCATCTGAAGCACATGTCTGCTACCCCTCCTTCTCTCGGAAAACAGGACTACCTATTTTTTTTTTTACTAACTTGACTAAAAAGGGATTAAACAAGAAGAAAGTAGTGACATTTACTAAAAACTAAGAAGGGATAAAAATTAAGTGATAAGTTCCTGAAATTACATGCGTCTTTCCATTCACATGGACATTCCCACACAGGTCTCTGTTATGTTTCTATGTGCTTTAGAAAAACAACCACAAACACCACATTTTATGCATCTCCACAGCATTTGGTACCTGATGAAAGTAGGTACCAAAAAAAAAAAAAAAAAGAAAAAGAAAAAGAAAAAGAAAAAGAAAAAGGCCCAAGTTCCTGAAATTACATGCGTCTTTCCATTCACATGGACATTCCCACACAGGTCTCTGTTATGTTTCTATGTGCTTTAGAAAAACAACCACAAACACCACATTTTATGCATCTCCACAGCATTTGGTACCTGATGAAAGTAGGTACCAAAAAAAAAAAAAAAAAAAAAAAGAAAAAGAAAAAGAAAAAGAAAAAGGCCCAAGTGATGCCTTGTCCCCAAAAGAAAATTGCTTTTAATTTAGCCTTTGTTGCTCTTGAGTCCCTGCGAACAAGCTTGGTGCTGCGGCAAGAACAGAAATTTGAGAAATCAGGCCCTTCAGCAGCAAGGTTTGTTTATTTATTAAAACATGTACTAAAGCCAGCTGCCAGGTTTTGCAAGGGTACAAACCATAGCACCAGCAAAAGTGGAAGCTGGTATAAGCTGGTGCAGATGAGTATATAAATTTGGTAGTCTTGAAAAAACACAGCTATGAAGGTAGTGAACCACATGAAACACAAGCTGTTTGCAGCAGTGAACAATGGACATGCTTTATAGACAAGAGGTGTTATTCTCCTGTAATAGCAAGGCAGCAGATCTAGTGAGATCTGGAAGTATGCTGATGCAAAACTGTTTAAATCTATTTAGGAAATGGTACCTTTGGGTGCCTTGTTATAGACAACTATATTTTACAAGGCTATTATGCACATACATGCACATTCTTTTAATATTGATGTCAACTTATCTGATTTATCAGGAAGGGCACCATACTTCAGTCCATGAACATCAGAAATGTAGAAACTGCAGACCTTAATTCCAAGCCTAATGAAAATAATGCAAGTATGCCCAGAAATGTTTGGCACAGTCTTTATCTGCCCTTTTTATGTCACTAGGGAATGCTGTGAGGTTGAAGCTGGTCAATCAGCTTGACTTAGTCAATAGCACCTGGCAGGGAAAGCCAGCACTCATTTTGCCTGTTTTCTGAATACAGGTTGTGACTGTGACTATTAGCTGCAATTATACGTTAAATGTCAAAAAAAAGCATTGTTAGATGAAGAGCACCTGCAAAGGAAACTTCTCCACAAGCAGCAAGAAGCTACAGCTTGAAACACGTTAGCTCTGGTTAGTTCTCTACCCAGAAAGACTTCCACTGTCTACATGCACGTCTGCTCCTCCAAACTCATGGCTCTCCTTGCAACACAACAGGCAAATTACGGCCAAGCAACACCCATAGGAAGCCACAAACCACAGTCTTTGAAGGATTTTTCTCCTTTGTCCTTCATATTTCAACACCTTATTTTGCAATCAGATTTAAGACATTTTTTCCAACCTTGTCAAAAGCAATTTGGACTTTAGATTGAACACCTAGAAGCAATTGTGACACAGGTTCTTTAAAATTAGAGCCCAACTAGCTTACACCTTCACTGCTACAAGCTGTTGCAGGCATATCTTTGTTAGCATTTTCAGCCATGTTCCTCAGGCCAGCAAAACATGTTCCTCCAAACTCCAAAGGGCTGCAACATGAATGAAGATCTGAAGAGGCTGTATCCCAGTTGGTGCTGTTCCTTAACAGCTTTCAGCCACCACAGCACAGCTGATTGACCTGTGTGCTGCAGCACTGTTTTTATTTGGGTTGGGAAGAAGGGGGAAAGAGGGGAGAGGAGTGAAGGGAGAGA